ATTTCTATGCTGCTGTTCTGATAAAATCTGACAATAACTGTAAAGTAGCAAAGGACAAAGAATGAGAATAGAGGGAAAAACAAATATCTCTTAATATCTCAAAAAAAGCATGAGAAAAATATCAAAAGGTCTTTAGCTTCTCTTATCCACCAGTTTAAAAAACAATCTCAAAATCTCACAAACTGTGCTCAAATTTGCCTAAATAAAGTCTGCAATCTAAAGTCAGAGATTACGATATATTCTCCAAAGACAATTATCTGAGAAATGTTATTGACATTCATTTTTATAGATCCATACTTTTACAGCATATCCACGGTTGCCTCATTTGTGTCTCCCACACAAGATAATTATAATTAGAAAGTATAATATAGAAAGTCTCCCGAGTTACAAAAAAAGCAACTTTTGAGCAACAAAATTTCTCAAGACTGACTTATTGTGCAAACGTCATCTGATTGTTTTATCGTCTGTTGTAGAATTATCCCAAAGGCAATGTGACTAGGGCAGAAATTCAGAAATTGAAACCAAATAACACTGCATAGTTTTATTTTAATAGATAACATAAGGCTGAATCCTTAATAAAATTACAAAAGTTATCAGCAGCACGTTTATTAGGCTACTGTCACTTTAAGACCTAATGCATGGATCCAATATACAGTTGCATTTTCTTTCTCAACTGCTTACATTCACAACACAGAAAGCAAAAAATGCTTGGATCTACTTGCACTTGAATGGTTTAAACCCACATTAAAATAAGCGAAATTGATTCTTTTTCGAAATCGAAATTTTTATTTTATAACTAGTAACCAATTCCTGATCCTAAGTATCCGCTTCTAGAATTAATTTTCGATTCCCAACCCTAGTTGTGACTTTTGACTGATCATTTGGGTTAAACCGTTTATCAAACACATATTTCAGCCTGTATTGACAATAAGGCTGAGAAATGCCAGTGTAACCGCACTGTTTGGATGAACAATAGGCCAAGATGCATTTTCTATTTTGGGTACAGAGTGATGTAAGTGTGTATGTGTGAATATGTATTTTGCTCAAGGAAACACCAGGAAACAGCCTTGACTTCTTCCTGCGATTGCTTACACGAAAACACAGTTAAAGTTTAAGCTTACATTGTTGTTACCACTATAGACACAGGAACGATGACATACGTTCTTCCCATGATTCAACCGCAAACCTGATCTTCGTAAACATACCAATGAACGCACAAAATTACAAACTAACTCATGCATTTGATGCAAGAAATATCTAACTTGCACACACACTCACAGGGATGCAAACCAGACGCACACAAACAGACGCACAAGCATTTCACTGACCTGATCTCACAGGAAAATGTAACTTTTATGAGGTTGCAATTTCGCGAACCGTACAAGTAAGCTGATTGTACGAAATTGTACAAAATAAATTCATACGAATTAGCCACCAGTTTGCCAAAAAGTGAAATAGTTACTCATAAATCAGTGCACACACTTCCATATATAGAAGATCTGGGATGTCTAAACTTGGGATACAAATTGATGAATCAACTGATGGTGTCCAAAAAAAGCCATCTTTGCAGAACAAACAGGATTAATAAAGTAATAATTAGTTTAGGGAAAGCAACAGAGAGCAAAGCGGCCAAAGCAAAGCAAAGCAAAATTATTGAAGAAAATTTCTTTAGTTTCAATATACGTATAGCTAAAATGAGCAACAAGTGGTTAGCGGCAGGGTTTATGGGTTAGTAACAGTGTAGTAGTGCGCTTCAGGTCAAATACCACTATATTTATATAACATTTAAAGTCCAGAAGACCTCCAGGGATTAGAAGTAACATACTGCTCTAAAATAGGCTACTTATACTGCATGAAAACTATTTTTATACTGCAAATATTTATGTAGGCCTAGTAACAAAATCACAAAGATTAGGAATTTAACCTCTGCGTTGCATTTTCAATTAAATTGGATATTTTACAAATACATCATCTTGTGTCTATCTTTGTTCTTCATGCTTTATGTTTTATGGGCCAGTTGTGGCCTTATTGGTAAGAGCAGGGGTCTCCAACACTAGCTTGCCAAGGGGCCGTTCACATATCGCGTCTTTTGCGTGTTCAAGTTCGTTATTTCAAATGTACTGTAGGTGTGCGGCAAGCTAATAAAAGCGACGTGTCCTTTTTTTTCCAGGCGCAGTGAGATGAAAAAAATAGCTAATTTTCAGAATGCCGCAAGCGCACCGCAGGTCATGTGACAAGAAACAACCAATCAGCTTCACCCTTTCCGTAACAGCTCAGTCAACATGAAGGATAGGGGTGCAACCAAACACTACGGGGGGTTTTCTCTTCTCCGTAAATAAATCTTGCGGCAACTCCACGGCAAAATCGGACCGAATTTTACTATTAATAATAAAAGGTAAGCTAATGTGCATTGTAAAATGTCAGTAATTTTTTTTTTGTATCATTCTTTTTATAAAAATAATTTAAAGGCTTAAAGATGTGAGGTTTATCTACTATAAAACCTTTTTTGTCAAAAGATAACATGTTGCAAGTCACTTATGTTATTTTAATGTTTATGTAAACAAAAAGTGCATATTGGTCATTTTATTTGTTATTTGCTGGTTTGTGACTCGTTCATCAAAATGAACAAATCTTTTTCCGAGTCATTTGGTTCATTCAACGAATGAAACGAATGAATTGACACGGAAAAAGATTCGTTTTCTCCTTTTAACAGGAGAGTCACGAACGTGCATCGCAGTACTGAGCAAGGTGAGCATTTGATCTTATAAAACTTAAACTTTGTTATTTTCTATTAAATGAGCGATCATTTCGCTTGACAAGACCCTTATTCGTCGTCTGGAATCGTGAACAGTTTGCACTGAAACTCTCATTTGGACCTTGAACCGTTTGGTTTCCATTGAAGTCCATTATATGGAGAAAAATGTTGGAATGTTTTCATCAAAAACCTTCATTTCTTTTTCGACTGAAGAAAGAAAGACATGGACATCTTGGATGACATGGGGGTGAGTAAATTATCAGCAAAAGTTTTTTTGAAAAGTGAACTACTCCTTTAAGTTTGTAAATGAAATTGCTTGTAAATGACTTTATCCAAAGTTTTTCATTGAACATAACTTTTTAAATAATTTTACACAAATTCCTCATCAATGGATGTCAATCTCTTAGTGGAGGCATCCAAAATAAAAAATGCAAATTGTGAATAACCATATTCTTGCCAAACTAGCCAGAAAACAAATATTATCAGTTACTGTAATTTGATCATTGCCACCATGTGGACCACCAAAAGACAAATTTACTATTGTGCGCAGCTAATTATAACTGCTCATGCAATAAAAAAAGTCAACATACCCAATGAAGTATTTGTCATCATGCCAATAAAGTACAAGCCAAATTGATTCATTTAGCCCTCTCAAACCATATCATACTGCCCAATGATGTCAGACTCAATCTGTCTCCACCTAAAGCTTCTGCTATTATTAATACAAGTCTATCTGATCCGATGTCCAATAAGATCATTATCCACAGAGATTAATCAAAACTTAAATCAAGATGATTCAGAATTTGCAAGGCCCTGAAAGAATCTGCAGACTTTATTTCAGGTGTTCGATTTAACAATAAACACACTGCAAAGTCCAAAAGAGCATTATAGGGAATTCTAATTCTATGCAAAGCACCCAACACTTGGGCGGCCTTTACAAATGAATCTGCATGGATATGTAAACAATTGAGCCTTGTAGAGGCAAATATTGGATTGAACAAGAACCAGGCCATCCTGAAATTGAGTCTGAAGCGAGGCATTAATGACTGAGCCACCAGCTTTAACTGTGTCATTTAATCCACAGATCACATAGATGGTCTAAATAGTCCTGAAGTGGGATTTTGGAGCTGCTCTTCAAAGCAAAGCTTCATATGACCTCATTACTTGTGAGGAAAACTAGCCTAGTCTTGGAAACTTTCGGCTAGGTGTGTCTAAATTACTTTTGGGGACATTTCAACCATAATGCAACTAAAAAAGGATCTGATTTGAATAAACAATCAATATAAGAAACCAAGATCTCTCGCATTCAGATCGAACCAAAAAGTGTATTTACACTTCAAATAGGAACCATTTCAATAATAGGAACTTCATATTCTCTGCTTTAAAGAATCAGGAACCCGATCCGAAATAAGGAACAATCAAAATCAGTTTTCATCTCCAAAGAATCGTAGACTCAACTCAAGAACCCTATACAACAAATGTTGTTTTAGAACCCGAACAAGAACATTTATTTGCATTTATTTTTCTGCATCAATAGTAAAACATTTGCATGTTTTAACCATTACAATGATCATGATTCACTTGACATTTGAATGTAAAATAACGTTTCAACTTAACACCAATATATTATACTGTTACATATAAATCTAAAATATAATATTCATTTGTTTTTCTTCCATATTGATCAATATTCTAAGGCACATGTGCTAATTATCATTTTATCAAAACTATGGACATGCCACACTGGCAAACAATATTGCATCAATGAATCCAAATCCACACCGAGACATATTAGCATGAAAAAAAACATGCTTGAAAACAAAACAAATGATCTTTTATGGCAAAAATATATTCTGATATACCAGGAAAATTTGTAGATTGAGAATAAGAGCAACTTTAAACAGGCCTGACAACTGAATAAAATAAACTGGCCATAAAATGCCACAGGTTCTGGGGATTTTATGTTTTAATGATAAATAAATAAAAAATACCTGTGGCATGTGGAGGACCGATTGTCTGAAACACTATTTTAAAACTTTAAAGTAGTACAAGGTGTATAAAATGTTTAAGTGAATTAAACTTTAATGTTCAAAACCCTGTTGTTTAGTTCCCATAAGAATTAACAGTCAACGGTAATGGCTTTGCCATTAAATTGATTTTGATGACTACAATACCAATTCAGCTCATTTAAAATGTTGCCAGTAAATCCAAATTATATCGACATGCAGGTAAACATGTCACTTACCGTCAAACAAAGGTGTTGTTGAATTGAGAAAGCTCAAATAAAGCATACAGGGATGCTCGGAAGAGCAGATGTGCGCAGCTGAGGGCCTCCGTTCGGCTCCAGCGCGCTTCCTCCTCCTCCTCCTCCTCCTCTTCTGCCTAAACCATCCGTCTCAGCCCAACCGAACCAGCCCGAACACAGCCCAGCTGATATTTACTGCGCAGTGTCGGTCTGCGTCCGTCCGCTCGGTGTGCCAGTCTAGTTCCAGCCGCGTTCATCTCTATTCGTTTACAAAGAGCCCCGTGTCCGCGCTATGCCACCTCATACCCACTGAAAACACTCGCACCCGAACAAAAACACGCGTCTGGCCGGGCGTACAGCTTCATCTGAACGCGCGAGAGATGCGTTGTGAGGAATGTTGCTTTGCATTAGTGTTGTTGGATTAATTCCAAGGGCTTTGCGTCTGCTTTTGTTTTGAGCATAATTCACGAGCGCGCAGCTCACGAGAGGTAGGCGTTCACTCTCACACTGTTGTGATGTTCGATTCGCGAACGAGTCAACCTGCTGATGAACCGATTCGTTCTGAAGGATTCGAAAGGCGTATGGATCTGTTCACAGAACATATTCTAGACGCTTTTCGGATATGAAAAGCGTTACCTTAAAAGTAAAAATGTTGGATATTTAAATTTGTAACACTCATGCTAAAAACAGGAATACAGCTTCGGAAAAAACTGAAAAGAAAATTTGAACACATCCTGAGTGGGACATCCTTGTTCATCCTCCTCGGCACAAACATTATGAAGATCTTTTGATGAAATTGGGAGCTTTCTGTAAACACACTTGACGCTTTAAAAAGTTCATAATGAGATCGTAAATCTATATTGAGCGGTTTTACGATCTTTTTATGAACTTCTTGAAGCGTCAAAACGTGTCAACTGTCTATGGGGCCAAAAGGCTCTCGGATTTCATAAAAAAAATACCTACATCATTCGTTTTCCGTAGATGAACAAAAGACTTTGGAACGACATTAGGAGTAAAATGTCCCTTCAAGTCTGTTTAGTCGAAATGTTTCGTAACGGCCATGACTGTCTGAACATGTCCTATCTTGTTGAGAAACTTTTGATTGAGGGAACGATTGAATAGTTTACTTGGATATAGTTCATGAAAATGAAACACCCAAACGAACTGATTCAAAAGAGTGAATTGAAATTCATGTTTCGCAAAAATGGGGTCCGGGGTGAAGGGGGATTTCTACTGGTAATTTACATTCCCTGAAGGAGGGAAATTACTTTAATTTGTAAGTTTGCACTTAGCAAGCACTAAATAACCAGTACAAAAAAATGTTAGCACACTTAAGGTTCAATTACTTATAAAACAAAGAGTGAACGGAGAGACTGCTTAGAGCTGAATTAACTTCAGAAAAGTGTGTAGAAGAATATATAGCATATTAGACATTAATGCTTACCTTTGTATACCTGCATCCAAAATGCACATAAATGCTCAGACTTTGGCAATACAATTCTGTAATAAACTGCAAATAAGCTTTGGGGCTCCTAAATATTTGACTAAGCTGATAATTGTATTGTAATGTATATATATATATATATACACACACACACACAATATATAAACACACACACATACATTATATATTTAATACTACACCCAAACAAACACACAACTAAAAATCAAACACTCCATGAATATAATAAATTAGTTTATTGAAAAGAAAATATAGTACAAAATATAGTAGATTTTATACATTTAAGGAAGCAACTGTAAAAGGCTCACTGAGTCAGACAATACAGTAAGTATAGATGACATGGCGGGCCATCTCCTTATTACCACTGGACTGGTAAATTAGAGATAAATTGTAGGCAATCTCTCTTCTCAAATCCACTTGATCATCATCAATCCCCTTAAAACGACAAGAGAAATCATTTGCATTTCACAAAGCATTTTAAACAGCCTATTAATGCACAGATAAATAAACATATTTACAGCATAGAGCCTTTGAATGTGTGTCTTGTTTACAATGTTTTGAGAATCTGGGAGATTTCTGTGATGATTTATGCATGTATAGTGGATCACACAGATATTAAACTGAAAGCGTCTTACCTCCATTTTGAGTGGGGGAAGGGAGAGGGCTTTCTCGTAGTAGTGAATGGCTAAATGACTGAGTCCGAGCTGCTGTAAAGCCCGGCCAAGATTATACAAGGACTCTTGACAATGACCTCTGAGATCCACATAGCGCCACAGGAATGAGAAACCCTGAGGAACAACCAAAACACGTTATCTATGCAGATATTACACAAATTCATTTAGCAATCTAAATAGGGACATCTACAGTTTTAAAATAACTACTGCAGCTTTTTAATTTATTATTAATACTATTGATAAATTGAAAATACTCCAAATGCCAAGGGAAAAAAAAAAACATATACTCACTTTTGCATAACTAAGGGTGTGTTCACACTTGTAGCTCGGTCCACTTTTTGGCTTATTTTAAAATGCTCTAAATTACAGTTTTTCCCATTCATTTCTATGGGTGCCCATTTTTGACCCAAATACAAGATTAAGGAGGTTTTTTTTCACACACTTGACATTGTAGAATTGAGTCAAAAAAAAGAAAAAAATGTGTGTGTTCAGGAGGCAAACTTAGCAAAAGTAGCCGAGTCTTGTACCGCTCAGATCAAGGGAAGTATTTTTTAAAATTAAATCAAAACTATTTTGCCCACATTTGTCCAGAATACGGTTTTAGGGTTAATAGAACCAAACATGCCAAGTGTGAACACACACTAAAATAAAGCAAATATTAAGACCATTGTGAGGTAAAGGTAATAAATATATAAATCTGTATTACAATGCTTTCTAAAATTTTATTCAGCAGTAAATGAAAATGTATGAATATTACATAAAAGAAATGTAATGCTAAATCATTTAACATTTATAAATAATATAATATAATACATAGAATTTTAATTGATAAAGCAAAACATACTTTTTTCTAGCATGTTCTAGAAAGCCAAACAGAGGGGAAATTTCAGCAACTTTACACTCAAAAGTAGCTAGTTTAGAAAAAAATACATATCGTGCTGTACCTGTATAACGAGGGAATGCCTTTTCATGACGAACCTCTGACAGGCCATATGGAAGAACGTGAGACCAACAACCAAACTGTGAAGAGGATGGTCTGGCTGGTTTCTGAAGGCCTGCATGTACTGACCTACTCAGAGAAGAGAAAGTAGAATAAAACAATCATAATAAAACTAATTTTAATAGTGCAGGTTCCACCATTTATGTGCATAAAATCTAAATAAACATTTCAACTAGGTGTGACCCACTCATGACCAGAACCTAGCAATTAACACCACATGAAGCACCAGAAACAAATGGTTTAATGTCCATACCGAGTGCATGTTTGAAAGTCCCAGAAACCAGCGAGGTGTGTCCATTGAGAAGGTAGAGCGCATGGTTATCGGGGTGCTTGAGCATGAGACGCAGACAGAAACGATGATGTCTGGCATCCTGAGAGTGCAGGGTAACCTGATTAAACACGTTCCACAGCTGAGTCCGTTCCACATTGTCCATTAACATCAACCTGCAATAGATGGGCTATATTTACAGTACTTACAGAAAAGTTCTCTACTGAGAAAGAAGCACAAATGGTCACTAAAGCCACTTCTCAATCAAAAAACATTCAGCCTCAGATTGTATATGCCATCCTGTGTTCCTCAAACCAGTTTATCTTGAGTTTTACACATGTTCCACCCATTGTGTGTTTGTTTATGCAGTATTTTGGCTATTTCGTTTATAGTTTTATCTTGTTTAAAATACAGAACACCACATTTTCCACAAAAATTGTATTTATATAAGTGAAAAATGCAGGAATCTGTGTTTTAAACATGATATCTGTATTCTTTAACAGACGATTATATATAAAATAAATAATAAGAAACATATATATTAGTGCTGTCAAATGATTAAACACGATTAATCACATCCAAAATAAAAGTTTGTGTTTACATAATATATGTGGGTGTAATGTGTATAATTATATATAGTATATATATATATATATACACACATGCATGTATATTTAAGAAAAAAATATTATTTATATATAAAATATTTATATATAATATAAATTATATATAAATCTATATACAGTAAATACATAAAAATATTTCTTAAATATATACAAGCATGTGTGTGTATTTATATATATATATATAATTATACACAGTGCACCCACATATATTATGTAAACACAAACTTTTATTTTGGATGCGATTAATCAGATTAATCATTTGACAGCCCTAATATATATTTACATATTTATATATATATATATATTTACAACCGAAAGAATACAATTTTGGTGGATAATGCAGCATTCTGTGTTTTAAGCATGGATTTAAAACGATAGATCTAATTAGCCAAAATACTGCATAAACAAAACAAAAACTGATTAAATGTGTAAGATATTTTATCAACTTAATCAGTTTTTATAAACACAGAATAAATAATAACATTAAAATCACAGAAAACAAACTGCATTTCCCACTAAAACTAGTGAAAATTGGTGGAAAATTGTGATTCTGTATTTTAAACATGGTACAACAGGGCATAAGAATAAATCATATTATAGCCAAAATACCGCATAAACAAACAAACAAACAAGGAGAGAAACGTGTAGAAGTTTGTGAATGACTTTTTGAATCAATGAATGATTTTATTTAGGATGTTCGTGTAGACAGACCGAGTATACAACTGACTGACCTTATATAGTCATAAGCCGTGCGGAAGTTGAGGTCGAGGAAGGCGGCGGACAGGCCGAGGTATTCAAGCTCTTTGCGCTTGACGCGGTCGTCGTAGAAGGAGTAGTACTCTAAAGAGGTGTCGACTAATAACTCGGCCTCAGCAAAGCGCTTCAACTCACACAGCACACCCAAGCAGCGCAGTAACAGCTTCCACCAGTCCTCTCGAGAGAGGACGCTTGTCTTACCTAAGAGAGAAAGACACTCGGATACTCAAGAAGACTTGGAAAAGGTCAAATGAAAAGATGTTTCAGAGGAGGAGTCAGTCATTACATTCTGATGCAAGTTTACAAAGGCTTGTTGACTTTAAAAAAGAGCTGGTTTAGTTTCAATTGACTGCTTCTGGGTTGTAGTATGTAAATAGTATTGTTCATGCAATTCATTGTGTGATCTTAAAGTCGTAGGACAGCAGTTTAATGGCATAATGAATAAGTGTTAATGTAGTTCCATGTGATGTGCTTTACCCGTCACATCCAGATAAGCTGCCTCTTGGTCATCAATCTCCATCAGTTTGTTGCGCGGCACTTTAATAAGCTTCAGATGTTTGACACCGGAGGACGTATCAGAGACGACACACACCTGAGCCCTCACCATCGCCACCTTCACAAAACAAGAAAGCACAACATTGTGTAAAATATCAAGTCTCATAAACCTGGTAATCAGAGAGTAGGAATGAACCACTAGTGGTTGACTGATATGGTCATATTATCGACTGATAT